TGGATTTTCACCAATGGATAAATATTATCGAATGCATCACAATAGACTGTAGTATCATTGTTGATACAAAATGACACGTTTACAGAAGTTATGTCAGAGATTTGAGTCAAAGAATTTTCGTTCCAAGCAAGTTTTAGCGACGGCCAAATTTACCGATGCAAGTATTGATGTTCGCTTGATGCATCCAAACGTAATATTTAATTGATGTCAGCACAAAAAACACCGAGATTTTATTAAGAGGCCACTCCTGTTAAGTGGTCAGTCGTGAAAATTCCCTTGGGTGGCTGCTTAATACAGATTCTACTGTATAACATTACTACTACTACCTGGTGCTTTAATGTCTACTTCCACAGAAGTGATATTGCAGACATGACATAGGAGAGCCGAGGCTTCTTCCTGTTTTTAGAATATGATTATGCAATCTTTCCATTTGCGGACTTAGGCCATGGAGTAGGTTTAGTTGGATGTTCATCCCTTTATTTAATAAAATCCATATTATTTGGTGGTTGATCTGTGAAGACAGCATATGTGCGGACATATATATATATGTGTCTTGTTTCTAGATTGGTAGATGTCATCTTTGTGTGTTTAGGTGCCAGACCCGTCTTATCGTGGCCTCCCCTTACTCCACTATACCACTCTGCAGGTTTGGTGTCTTTTTTGCGGATTAGTGTTTAGATGCCGAGCCCGTCTAACCGTGATCCTCCCTTACTCCACTGTCCTGCTAATTTGGTATGTTTAGATGCTGAGCCCATCTAACTGTAGCCCCCTCTTACTTCACTATTGTACTTAATTCAACCGTGGTCATTAGATCGTGGATTAGTTCGAAGATTTGCAGCTTCAGATCTGGTCTCGGAAAGAGTAGGTTCTTAGTGTTGAGCGGTATGTTGTTGGTCTCCATCATCCCCACTAGTCCCCTTCTCTCCTCCTTGTATAATTCACAATCTACCAGGACATGGTTTATGGTACATTCTTCTCCACACTCACAGACGATGACTTGGTGTTTGAAGTCTCACAGTATAATAGCAAAAAATCAAATTATATACAACAAGGTAACAAAAACAGTAACTAATCTGAAACCCTCAAAGGGCTAAAAAAAAAGAACAATAATAACAATACAAAATAGACATAGACGTATGTATATTTTTGCATAATATATGCATTAAGGCGACATATGTATATTTTTGCATAATATACACATTAAGGCGACCTTATATATATGTTTGCATAATATACGCATTAAGGGGTCATATGTATATTTTTTGCATAATATACGCATTAAGGCGACATATGTATATTTTGGCATAATGTACGCATTAAGGCGACTTTATATATATATTTGCATAATATACGCATTAAGGCGACATATGTATATTTTTTGTATAATATACGCATTAAGGCGACCAAAAAGATCAAAATAGCCATAAACCATTTTAATACACTTTTATTTGAGCGTTTTATAAGAGTACCATATTCATAAATCTTTCTTTTTGCTTAAAATTCCAGCGAAATTAGTTATTTGTCGACACACGCAGCGTGTGGTGAAGCCGTTAATCTCTAGTTGATAATATGGCCAAAGTATTAACGATAATCCCTTGCTCAATGAATACAAACGAGTTTCAAAACCCATACAATATACTCGACTCCACCGTGACGGAATTACATGGTACCCCTTATAGGAATATACTCAATTCCATCGTGATGGAATTACATGGTGCCCCTTATTTTGCAGTCTTAAAGGTACAGTGGCTGTTTACTACAGTAATAGTATATTATATTGGGGATTTTATAAAATGGGGGGGGGGGGGTATCAGAGGAATGATTAAAAGTCCTGATGAACTCTTTACATCAGATGCATTTTATGAAATAAGATCTATAACATTATATGTGACGGATACCCACTTTGACATTATCCAAATGCAAACTATGTATTTTTCATTATATTTGCGAATCAAGACATTTTATGGCGGGCAGTTTAGAATATTCAAAATATGTCTAGCCCCGACAATAGAAAAAAACAATTTTTATAAACAAATCATCCCAAAGAAGTGACCTTTGGTGCGCAAAACATGCGTGACGGAATTACCTTTCAAATTGTGCTGGAATTACAGTGCAGAAATTCCGTCACACAAGGGTGTTCTTGTCATGACTTAAGTTATCGCTGGCTAAGAAAGCTCGATTTGATACAGGATCATCACTCGACGTTGCTTCCAATGCGTGGATTGGATATCGCCTAGCTATATATATGTGAAATTTTCTGCAAAATCCATTTGGAGCAAACATTCCTCTCAGGTTTCTTCATTTTATATGGACTTCGCAGGTTTATGTGATATCCAGTCACGGCACAAATTGCACCCACATTCTCGTCATTGGCATTGCCCATTCTGTGATTTTGAACGTTCAGTCTATTTCTTTTTCATTAATAGTTGAGCTGTTTTGGTAACATGACAAATCTCAGATTTCTCGTTCGTTCCCTATCAACATTATCATAATTCACCGGATTTACAGCTGATTTAAATTTTTCTTTTCATATACGCTGTCTCTATGCTGTAAGTGTGGCTATAACTCAAAGAATATATGAAACTATATAATGCAATAAAATTCCATAAATTCCATAAAGGAATTTCTGGAAGACTTACTAAATGCTTGAATTTCGAAAAAAATTTGTAATTCCGTCACAAAAGAAACATGTAATTCTGTCACGCATAAATTTGGAAATTATATTTGTGATGAGAAAAATGTTAGAATATACTTCAACACTGGCATGCGTTCCCACATAGGAAATGAGTTTTTATAGAGATATGCCCACTTTTAACCTTTTTATACTCACATTTTCATGTGGACGTATTATGCCGTCGCCCCTGTCCGTTCGACCGTTCATAATTTGTTTATGGACACTCTACTGGTCACAATTCTTATTCGATTTTAACGAAACTTGAAATATAGGTTTATCTCCAAAAGCTCTCGGTTGCTTTCGATATTGGCATGTATCGGATCGAAACTTCATGGATTATGGCCCCTGTTTGTACAAAAAATCATGTTTTTAGCTTGTGGACCCTATAGAGGTCACAATTTTTAACCGATTTTGTTGAAACTTCAAATGTAGGTTTATAACCCAAAATCCTTTCGATATTCGTGCATATCGGACCGTAACAACCATCATTAGGGTGTAACGGTGATAAAAAATTGTTACCTCTAGAAGGACACAAGCTGAAAACGTAATTTTTCATACAATCAAGAGCCATAATTCAGGAAGTTACAATCCGACATGCGCGAATATAACGAAAGGAACCATGACCTTTGTGATATAAGCATAAATTTAAGGTTGCATCAAAATCAGAAAAAAATTGTGGCCTCTAGAGGATCTACGTATTTACACCATTTGAGTTATACAATGGCGGCCATTTTGTCTGTCAGTTTTGGTCCGATTTTCACGAAATTCGAACTCAACCATCATTACGGTGTAACGGTGATATATTCACACCATTTTGTAAATCGGATAATAATTCTGACCTCTAGAGGGACCACAAGCTAAAAACGTGATTTTTCGTAGTCAAGGGTCATAATTCAGGAAGTTACAGTCTGATATGTGCAAATATGGAAAGGAACCAAGATCTTTGGGTTATTAACATGTATTTCAAGTTTCATCAAAATCGAATCAAAATTGTGAGCTCTAGAGGGTCCACAACCATGATATATCATATTTTTACACTGTTTGCGTACGAGGGGCAGCCATTTTGTCCGGCAGTTTTGGTCTGATTTTCACAAAATTCGATCTCAACTGTCTTTATAGTCTAAAGTGTAACAGTGATATATTCAAACAGTTTTTTAAATGTGTATAGCGCTATTGCGTGTCGCACATGCAGCTCAGTGGTTCTGTGGGGCGATAAGTTCTTCATCTGTGAACATACTCTCAAAGCCTGTCAAGTGTCCATGACTATTTAAATATCCCCTACTTTTTTTTGAAGAGTATATATCAAAATATGGTTATTTCATATTTTAAAAAGTTGTTCATTTGCTTAGATTAAGAGTTTTTTTTTTATAATATATCAAAATATGGTTATTTCATATTTTAAAAAGTTAAACAAAAAGTAACTTGTAACCCAATTAGTTGTTATTAAATTTATTAAATTAAATATTGTCTTTGTTTTTATTTTGACTAAGAATTAGATTATCAAAAAAGGTACACGCATAATATCTATAGTCTGAGAGTGGTCACCACCCTAAGCTATAGATATTATTCTAGACCATTAAGAACATTATTTTGTGAAATCGAATCTGTGATTAACAGTAGGCCTCTGACTGGTATGGAAAAACATACAACCGAATTACACCATTCGATTGACAACTGCTTAATGCATATCGGCATTGGATTTTTTGAGAAAATATCAAATCTCTGAAGCGTGACATTCCCGTGACAAAAATTGTTAAGTTTTGCATGTACAATAAATTTACTAGACCCGTCTTCGAGATATTGTAGAACCTTCAGTCATGGAGTTGAACCACGATATCAAAAATATTTGATTGTCCAACGGGCATGACCCTGTCAATATTTGGTTTCCCATAGTTTTTTTCTGGTTATGACCCTGTATCCGTTGGGTGTTAAAATAGTTAGATTTCGAATTATAGAGCTACCCTCACTCGACCAAAGTAATACTATGGATTTTCCGATTGTGGGTTGTGACATGTATGATAGCAAGTAAAGTTAGAAATTCACGAAAGGAAGCAGTCTACCGTACTTTCATTTTCCAAAAATTGGGAAAATTTGCCGATAAATGTTTCCTCAGACAAAATGACAAACCGTTTGGAAGTTTCACCTGAAAACTCCCGGAATTTGATTGAACTTTGTCCGTGTCCGACCAGTTATTTCCAGGCATGTCTGGTCATTATATGTCCTCTTTAAATATAAAGGGCAGTTTCCAGTAAGTTATAATTAGGGGTTTGATTTAAAACATTGCCCTTTGATCTCTGTTTATTGTTTTACATGTTTCCTATTGTAGATGTTGGATTTGGTTCGTCCAGAGGTCAAAGATCAAGTAACTCTCAAAGACTTAAAGAAATGTAAAATGGCTGACATTTTCTTTGATACTTTCTTTAATCTGGATAAATTCTTGGACCATGAACAACGTGACCCCTTTGCTAATATCAGGGTAAGATTTAAATCATTGTGCTATACAAAGCTCATGCAATACTTATGGAAGATGTTCACCACAAATGCAACAATGACAATAACTTCCTTGTTTTTAGACACATTTGCACCAACAACAACTTCAAAAATGACGTCATCATTCCATGAGTCATGGGAAGAAGAGCATCTTGCAATTCAATAAGGTGTAATATTGAACATACAATAACTGAAGAACTCACTTCTTCTTTGTATATGTCTATATTCTAGTAACACACAACAAGTCCATTTGCTGATTACACTATTTTGCTTGAATACACTATTTTGCCTATAACGTTTTTTAGGACTTCGAATTCTGTCTTATGGTTTGGATTGTTCGTACTTGGTTTTATTTTATGTCCTACTGCCTGCCTGTGGTCAACTGCCTGTAATCTGTTGCTGTTCTTAGTGTTTAATATCTGCTTCCACGGAAGGTGATATCGCCGACAAGTCTTATTTTTATACGCCCACATTTTCATGTGGACATATATTGTCGTCGCCCCTGTCCGTCTCTCCACAATTGTTCGTGGATACTCTACAGGTCACAATTCTTATCCGATTTTGACAAAACTTGAAATATAGATTTATCTCCAAAAGATCTCGGTTGCTTTCGATATTGGCATGTATCGGACCAAAACTTCATGGATTATGGCCCCTGATTGTACGAAAAAATGATGTTTTTAGCTTGTGGACCCTATAGAGGTCGCAATTTTTATCAGATTTTGTTAAAACTTGAAATGTAAGTTTATAACCCAAAGATCTTGGTTTCTTTCGATATTCGCGCATATCGGATCATAACTTCCGGAATTATGGCCCCTGATTGTACGAAAAATCGCGTTTTTAGCTTGTGGACCCTATAGCGTTCAAAACTTTTATGCGATTTAAAAAAACGTTAGAATATATCACCGTTACACCCTAAGGATGGTAGAGTTCGAATTTCGTTAAAATCAGACCAAAACTGACAGACAAAATGGCCGCCCCTTGTACTCACAGATTTTGTTGAAACTTGAAATGTAAGTTTATAACCCAAAGATCTTGGTTCCTTTCGATATTCACGCATATCGGATCGTAACTGCCTGAATTATGGCCGACCCCTCGTACTCAAATAGCGTAAAATATGGTATATCAATGTTGTGGACCCTCTAGAGGTCACAATTTTGATCTGATTTTGATGAAACTTGAAATGCATGTTTATAACCCAAAGATCTTGGATCCTCTTGATATTCAGGCATATCTGATATTAACTTCCTGAATTATGGCCCCTGATTGTATGAAAAGTCATGATTTTAGCTTGTTCTCCGTCTAGAGGTCACAATTATTATCCGATTTTAAAAAAAACCATTTGAATATATCACTGTTACACCGTAATGTTTAATGATTTCGAATTTTGTGAAAATCGGGTCAAAACTGCCGGACAAAATTGACCGCCCCTCGTACGCAAATAGTGTATAGCATCTGGTATATGAAGCCCTTGGACCCTCTAGAGGTCACAATTTGTATCCGATTTTGATGAGAGTTGAAATACATGTTTATAACCCAAAGATCTTGGTTCCTTTCGATATTCGCGCTTATCGGATCGTAATTTCCTGAATTATGGCCCTTGAATGTACAAAAAATCACGTTTTTAGCTTGCCGTCCATGTAGAGGTCACAATTTTTATCCAATTTAAAAAAAACATGTTAATATATCATCATTAGACACTAAGATCTTGGTTTGTGTAAATCCGAACGGAACTTCCTGGATTATGTCTCCTGATTGTTCGAAAAATTGCATTTTTAGCTTGCGGATTCTCTATCGGTCATAATTTTTTTTTCTGATTTTAAAAACAGTTTAAATATTTCACCATTTCACCATAATGAAGGTTGAATTTGAATTTCGGGAAAATCGAAATGAAACTGCCCGACAAAATGGCCGCTCTTTGTACTCAAATTGTGTAAAAGTATGCAATACGAAGGTTTTGGACCCTATAGAGGTCACAATTTTTATCCGATTCTGATGAAACTTAAAACATATATCTTTATATCCCAAAGATCTCAGTCCCTTTTAATATTTACGCATTTCAGACCATAACTTTCTGAATTATTGCCCCTGATTGTACAAAAAAACGTTTTTGTTTTTAGCTTGTTCTCTATCCATCTCTTGCAAAATGTGGGTGTTATCCTGCCTCGCAGCATCTGGTTCATTTTTATTATCTTAGTGCAAGCGCAGGGGTCTTTGCTGTGGGAGGAAACCGGAGTAAAGCCACAAGGTTGAGAAGGCACCCCTATCTCCCAAACCACACACTCACACCAGGGATCGAAACCACAACCGCAAGCCAGAGGTGACGGGCCAGCTAGAGGATGAAGCGCGGCACTCTAGACCACTAGGCCTTTAATATAGTAGAGGTTACTTAGTAACAATAAATAATTATTGTGTTTTAAACTTAATAATCTTTTATAGTTGTTAATAAGGTAAGGGGTAGTATTTAAGTGACAGCCATTCACTTATTTACTGCGATATCACCTTGTTGGAAGCGGACGTAAAATACAACTAACAAACAACAACAAAAACTTATTTACCCCTTTCCATAATATCATATTTAATGTATTGGACATTAAATCTTTAATAAACAACAACTTATTTACTGAGGTGACTACTTGGGGCCTTGATTATGTAATGTTTATTGATGTGTTATCCCATTAGAATTATTGTTTATAATCTCTTTCATAGCTGACCATTATTAATATACTTTAAATAATCCATATCTTGGGTGCCCAATGCTCTTTCTAATATTGAGTGAATGTATATTGCTGTCGCCCCTACCCGTCCGGATCAGTGATGGGATTTCAAAATTTTTCTTGTCAGACATTTTACCGAAAATAAAGGGACATAACTCTTATCGTTATTTAAGCTGACGGATTCATACCACAATTAAAAATCACATGTCAACAAAATATTCAAATCCTGTATGTAATAAAAAAAAGGTGAACCTCACTATTTTTCATATTTAATTCCCGTACGGTATTCAAATTTATGTCAGTAACAATCCTACAACATAACTCATTTTTGTAATACATTGAATGAAAGCTTGTCGATTCTGCTTCAGCATCAAATTCACAATAGTAGACCTAATATTCCTGCAAAATAACGTGTCTTCCTGAATAAGAATCGTTTTCTTCTTTATAAAATGTCAACAAAATACTCAAATCCGCGCGTAATAAAAATAGGAACACCTCGCTATTTTTCATATTTAGTTCCCGTATGGTATTCAAATTTATGCCAGTAATATTCCTATAAAATTATGGGTTTTCGTAATACGATAGAATGAAAGCTTGCCGATCCGTACCTACTTGTAAAAAGGCATAGCTTCCTTCAGCGTATGGCGTACGTGACTCATAGCACATAGCTTCATCGTAAGCACTGCCTTGTAAGCGATTTTCGGTTGGCTATCGGGACCACGGAAAAATGTTTCCTATTTGGTTCCCGTATGGTATTCAAATTTATGCCAGTAATATTCCTATAAAATTATGTGTTTTCGTAATATGATAGAATGAAAGCTTGCCGATCCGTACCTACTTGTAAAAAGGCATAGCTTCCTTCAGCGTATGGCCTACGTCAGTATGTGACTCATAGCACATAGCTTCATTGTAAGCACTGCCTTGTAAGCGATTTTTGTTCAGCAATCGAGATCACGGAAAAGTGTCACTGTTGATGAGAATTTCTTTATGGAATCTTAAAAGACGTAAAAGATATCACAGACAAAATGATTGTCCATTGATTTGGGGTGTTATACACTCTTACGATATGTGACATCTAAGACTAGATTATACATGCTGTCGGTTGGTACATGCTGCGATTAAAATTTCCGACAAGTCAATGTAGAAACCACGGGGTAAACAGGTAGATTAAAATAAATTATAATCACTTTTATTGGATTGATGAATAGTCCAACAAAGGTGAAACAATGACTTCTGTTTAAGATTAGATTGACGAATTGTCCAATAAAAGATTATTAAGTCAGTCAATCATGGTAGATTAAGCAGTTAATTAAGGTAGGTGTATTAGAAGGTACGTAACACGATAAATAAGTTGATCTCTTAATTACCTAATCAATCCAGCCCATTATTAACGATAATCTGGTAGGTGTATAGACGGTATAGCACGATAAATACGTTAATCGCTTAATTACCTAATCAATCCATCCTATTATTAACGATAATCGGGTTGAGTGGTAGTTAGTTATACACTCAGTACACTATACTAATTTTGGAATTTTGAATATTATTCACCATATCTTGATGTACGATTGGGCATATTCCTGGTCGGACAATTGTGGACGTTCGGAAAATAGCGTCGGACATGTCCGGAATATACAGGCGAAATCCCATCACTGTTTGTGGACACACTACAGGTCACAATTCTTATCCAATTTTGACGAAACTTGAAATATAGGTTTATCTCCAAAAGATCTTGGTTGCTTTCGATATTGGTATGTATCGGACTGTAACTTCATGGATTATGGCCCCTGATTGTACGAAAAATCACTTTTTTAGCTTGTGAACACTGTAGAGGTCACAATTTTTATCCGATTTGGTTGAAACTTGAAATGTAAGTTTATAACCCGAAGATCTCAGTTCCTTTCAATATTCGCACCCTAAGAATGGTTGTGTTTGAATTTTGTAAAAATCAGACCAAAACTGACAGACAAAATGGCCACCCCTCGTACTCAAATAGCGTAAAAATATGGTTTATCAATGTTGTGGACCCTCTAGAGGTGACAATTTTGTACTGATTTTGATGAAACTTGAAATGTAAGTTTATAACCCAACGATCTTGGTTCCTTTCGATATTTGTGAATTATGGCCCCTGATTGTAAAAAAAATTGCTTTTTGTTTAGCTTGTTCTCTATCCATCTCTTGCAAAATGTGGGCGTATCCTGCCTGGCAGCCGCTTGTTAACTGATCTTATGGGTTCTTTGACTTTTGTTCATTAAAAATAGTTTTGTTTATTCTTTCCTGATAAAGGATCCTGAGACCGATGGACCGGAACCATCTGCTTGGGAAAAATATGCAGCGGAGGAATATGACATACTGGTTGTAGAAGAAGGAGCTAACGAACATGACCTAAATGAAATGTAAGTATTATTATTATTATGTAGACATATTTTAAAATCTGAAAAGCCTGAATGGGTTGTAAATAGGTCAATTTTACACCTTTTTTCACCTCTCAATCGAATTTGCTCGAAAATGAAATCGAAATTAAAAAAAAATGAGCTCACATTTTTTTGCGCCTTTAAAGGGCACACTCTTTTAGTTATATCAGTTTTTAAAAAAATAATATTTGCTTTCGAAAAATGGTACCTAACTGTCAAAATTGTAGTTTTTGGTAAAATTATGCCACTTCCGGTGCCGACAGATAACTCTACCGGTAACAAAAAAAATGACAATTGAGACAACAGAGCATATGAACTTTGGTTTATACAAATCGAACAATAAATAATTAATCTAGGACTGAAAAACTGAATAAGTCAATGGCGGCCAAGGAAAGCCACTGAGACAAAAAAAATTAATATTTTTGCTCAAGTCAGATGGCTCTTTAATTCTGTGTAAAACACACTAAAAAATATTCATAAATAAAAAAGTTTTTTGTCAAAATTTAAATTTTCTAAATTTGGCGCCTAATATCTGTGAAGATTTGCCGATAATCAAAAGTAGCGTAGCTATGTGCCCTGTCTCCGGCTATGCCAAAATTTATCGAAAGTCAAAATCCAATGATTATTGTTAAAGTGCGCATAAGATGGGCCTGGAAACTTAGAGATACGTGTAGCCAATGGTTACTATATCCACTTTACGGCAAGTTCACGCCAATCTGGTTGAAATTAATTCAGTTATCTTCACTCAAAGTCGTAAAAATAGACCTTCCGTAAAAACGACTTTGCCAATTATCGAAAACACTCTTAATCCCCTCAGGCGCCAGTGACGTCACAGTGACCGAATGCATATTCGGAATGTTTATTCCTTAATAACCTATATACAGCCGGCGTGTGTATTCTTTAACGTCTGAAGGATTCCTTAATCCCCCTAATTAAATAAAACAATTGACTACGGAATAATTTGTTTTGTAATTCATTTTAATTTAAGATCCAATTTAGAGTGCCTACAACTTTTAAACTTTGAAGTCTTGAACTCTTAATTAATTTTTTACAATATGGAACTTATTGGACGAACACTTTTAATATGTAAATAATATACGGGTCCAGCTATGTGGTTTTTACTGCGAGCACTTCGCTTTTCCACATAAAGTGTAGTGTCGTTAATATCTGTCATTAATTAATCAATCCGACTATAAAAGGCATGGGTCATAAATTAATTTACATGTTGGTGTTAGCAGTGAGTGTTAGTGGGATTAAGAATGTTGATTAGGTAATTATCTTTTTTACGCCGGCCAGATCAAAGACATCACTCTAAGTGGAACATGTGCGTAATACCTCACGAACGAACTAATGGTAGAATCATACACACACACACATTAATTGTATAAAATAATTAAGTTTTACTAATAAGTTGTTTAAAATTACTATATACCCAATAACTATTGCTCACCAGTGTTTTTGTAATCAAATAGCCTTGTATTATTTGTTGATTGGCGTTTAAACAACATTTAATTGATGGATGGATTAACGTTTTTGATACGATTAGGTTATAATGTCTAACATCGGTTATCTTCTTTATAATAAAAGTATTTTACAATTGCATTGACAGTTTAATCACTCCCCAAACGGCACGAATGATCCCCTGCAATTTTCGCGGCGAAGTTTAACCTCATTTACTACACCCATAGTACATTGAACGGTACATGATAATAAGATATCAAGCGTTGATTGGCAGAGAAATGAGTGCGATGTATTGTACATGTTATGCATAGTCATCGGAAAATTCCATATTCACTGTAGTTGTTCTTTATGTATAGAAATGGTTATTATTATTATATATAGCTAATAATGAATATATCGACAAATGACTGGCACCATTTGTATTTCTGTACTTAAGTTTGGGATATCAAGTATTACGGGGTTATCCAAATTACCGGTAAATGCACTGATTTCTTGAGTCATCTTCATTTGACACGTGGGCTATTTAAACAAAGGCAGCTTAAATTGATCTATGGCATGATACAGCATTTTAAATTTACTCTAAAATATTCCAATCACAAATGTCTAATCTATACCAATGAAAGACGATAATTCGGTGATTATGATTAGGCCAGTCACGTGGTAATTGGACCGTCAATAGACGCTTGTCCAGTTGCCGTGTGTATTGATAGTGCTTTATTGTACAGACAGTGAGATATTGTATAGATAATGTATATCCTATGTGTAGTGCCTGTGACGTCACCAGCCAATCAACCGGAATAAGGTCGTAATTGAAAAATTGAAAAGCGTGTCGGATACTTAAACGTTAACAGCGGACTTAATTTTAATCAGATTGGTGTGAACTTGCCATAAAGTTGATATAGTAACCATGGGCTATACATACATGCAATTTAGATTTTTGATCTTACGTGGTCTTTAAGATTACTGCAATATTTCTAAAAATGATAGCTTCGGTGATTTCGTACATTTCGCATTGTTGCAGAACGTTCAAAATAGCTTTATCCTCTAAGTCACACCCACTTTCCCACTAAAACCGAAGAAATTGTAACAATGCGACAAGCAGTTGCTGAGATCTAATCAAAATGGAATTGGAATAACACAAGCTATGCAGTGTGAAACCCTAATAAAAATCTTAACAAAAACAATAGTGTTTCACACAAGCTACGCAGTGTGAAACCCTAATAGTAATTATTACATATGGTTAGAATCGTAATTAGGTCAGCTATCCGAATGTATAACTTTTTTTTTGAAAATCTGTTAAAATAAACAAATAATAGAGCATTTTCAAAGTCTTATTGGGTGGCTTCATGCACAAGACTTCCGGAGGGACTCTCGATAGAGAAAGTTAAAAAAAATAATTTTAGGTTAAGTTTTCGAGATAAAGGCGTCCAAAAATGCTCCAAATCAGAAAATACTTGATTTTCAGCGTGCCATATTTTGCTGCCTGTCATAGTATCCGTATGAATTGGGTATCATACGGCAGTGCAATCCTTGGGCCACTCAACGATACTTTAATTGGTTTAATCTGTTCATATCGGAAGGAGAAATCGCGTTTTTCCAAAAAGCATCCATTTTTATACGCCCACATTTTCATGTGGACATATATTGTCGTTGCCCCTGTCCGTCCGTCCATCCACAATTGTTTGTGAACACTCTTAGAGGTCACAATTTATATACGCCCAAATGGAAATGTGGTCGTATATTGCCGTCGCCCTCGTCCGTCGGTCCGTCCACAATTTCTTGTGAACACTCTACAGACTACATTTATCATCTGATTGTTTTGAAATTAATATATGTTGTTTGCACTAGTGAAACGAAGAATCCTATTGAATTTCAGCAATTTCCGTTAATTACGCTGTGAGTTATGGCTCTTGTTTCACTTTGTTGTACCTTGTGAATGCTCTAGCGACAAACGTTATTATCCGATCTGTATGAAATTTATATGCATCATTTAAATTAGTAATTAGAAGCCTATTGAATTTCAGCAATTTCCGTTAATTACATCTTGAGTTATGGCCCTTGTTTCACTTTGTTGTACCTTGTGTATGCTCTAAAGACAAAAATTATTATTTGATCTGTATGAAATTTATATGTATCGTTTAAATTAGAAAAATGAAAAAGCCTATTGAGTTTCAGCAAATTTCTGTTGATTACATCTAGAGTTATGGCCCTTGTTTAGCTTTGTTGAATCTTGTGAACACTTGAATGACAAAAGTTATCATTTAATCTGTATGAAATTCATATGTATCATTTAAATTAGTGAAATGAAGAAGTCTTTTGAATGTCAGCAATTTCCGTTTATTACTTCTAGAGTTATGGCCCTTGTTTCACTTTGTTTAACCTTGTGAACGCTTTAACCCCAAAAGTTGTCATCCTATCTTTCTGAAATTTATATGCCCTATTTAAATTAGTGAAACGAAGAAGCCTATTTAATTTCAATAATTTCCGTTTATAATAATGAGTCATGGCCCTTGTTTCGCTTTGTTGAACCTTGTGAACACTGTAATGCCAAAAGTTAACATTCGATCTTTGTGAAATTTATATGGAATATTTAAATTAGGGAAACGAAGAGGCCTATTGAATTTCAGCAATTTCTGTTTATTACTTCTAGAGTTATGGCCCTTGTTTCACTTTGTTTAACCGTGTGAACGCTTTAACCCCAAAAGTTATCATCCTATCTTTCTGAAATTTATATGCATTATTTAAATTAGTGAAGCGAAGAAGCCTATTTAATTTCAACAATTTCCGTTTATAACGTCTAGAGTTATGGCCCTTGTTTCACTTTGTTGAACCTTGTGAACACTCTAATGCCAAAATCTGATCTTTGTGAAATTTATATGCAATATTTAAATTAGGGAAACGAAGAAGCCTATTGAATTTCAGCAATTCTGAACCGGCTATTAAACTATGGTTCACAGACTCAAAATCTAAAAGGCATATGGTTAATGCTTACGGTCTCAAGCAGTCTGATGATCCTGTTCAATCATCACAAGACGTGGAGTGCGACACACAGACAGACAGTGATAGTGACTTCTAATGCATGTTCATTTCCGCATGGTAAATACAGGACTTCAAAGACACACTGTGTACAACTTGGCTCTTCATAACCACCTTTGTTTAATTAGTTAGGCTTGTTAAAGGGTCTAAATATCTACATGAATTTGATTGGTCAGTTAAAAAGGAACTACTTTTTTTGTATTTTCAAAGCACAGTTCATTTTTTATTAAAAGTAACTTCTTTTTTATACGCCCACATTTTCATGTGGACGTATATTGTCGTCGCCCCTGTCCGTCCGTTCACAATTGTTTGTGAACAGTCTACAGGTCACAATTTTTATCCGATTTCAATGAAACTTGAAATATAGGTTTATCACCCTAAGATCTCGGTTTCTTTGGATATTGGCATGTATCGGACCGTAACTTCATGGATTATGGTAGAATCATACACACACACACATTAATTGTATAAAATAATTAAGTTTT